TACAGGATACACAGGAGGGAAGGGTTGGAGTGAAAGGGAGGTCAGGCGTATTCTGTGCATAGTATGGACAGATACATGTGGGAAACCTAGAGAACTGGCCTGGCAACTGCATTGGCCTCTTCTCCAGCAAGGGCCCCACAGTGAAGATGGCCAGCACCGTCTCTCAGGCAGGAACACCATGGAACCAAGGCACCATGGTGGGTGGACCATGGCTTTCCCATTCTCCTGTGTAACCATCCCACTGACCAACCTTCACCATGTTCCCAGGGAATCTCTAGGCTTGGACCTAGCCCTCACTGGGGGACTAGGTCTTCTCTCTTGTACAGAAAGAAAACTTCCTAGTATCTTCTAAGGCCAAAGAGTGCCAGGGAAAGCCCAAGCAGCCCAGGGGAATGAAGCCTAGAAGAATTGTGGGAGAAGGAACATAATGGTGGTAATATAGAGAATAGATTGCATTGAGCCAGAGGCAATGTTGGGTAGAGGAGACACTAAGCTCTCTTTTGCAAAATTGACAGAATTTTCTCAGGGCAAGTACAGAGGATGGATAGGTGTTTGTAACATCTTTAGGCCCCAGCTTAATTCCTGCCTGCTTCCACCTTCTCTTATCTCCTTTCGACCACTCTTACCTCTGGTGAGGGATGATTGGACCAGCCTGCTCTGCTCACTTTGCCCTTGTTGGCAGTGGAAGAATTATGTGTGTTATATATAACACATTGGTTAGTCCTCAGCTGCTTTAGCCTTCAAATGTGAAGCTTAGGGAGCTACATACACAAAGATGTGGCCTATAGTGCAGAGTGAAGGGCTCTGAGTACAGCACCTAGTTGTGGCACACCAGCAGGCTCTGGAGAAGCCATCTTCTGTTCTGGCAATACCACACTCCAGTCTGCAGTCTCAGTCCTGGGAAAGTCTTCCTAGTATCTGAAACCAAAATGTTTCTGCCCTGGTGCAAAAGAAGGTAAGTTTCCAAGAATTGGCTCTGCAGCTATGTTTGAAGCTCCGTTTGGGCTTGTACCAAAGTAGTTGTTGGGTAAGAGAGTTGAGAACATCTTGGACAACTTTTCATCTCATTAGTGTTGTATTGCTTTCCAGGATTTGGGAATCAGAGCTCTAATTTGGGAATGTATGTGTACATATTTGTTCTTTATTGACATAAATTAGCAGTAGGAGGATGCTTCATTTTAACAAGTCATATATGTATACAATCCTTTTTTCTTTTCTTTTTTTTGCAAGTTGGTCTTGAACTCAGGGACTGGGTGTTGTCCCCGTGTGCTGTTCTTTTGTACTTGATGCTAGTACTTTACAACTTGAGCCACAGCTCCTCTTCTGTCCCAACCCGCAGGACTTCAACGAGGGCAATGAACCTAAGCGAGAAGGAATGAAGGGACAAGAGACACGAAGAATGACAGCAAGACAAGGATTCTGATCAAGCTGCAAATTTTTATTTTTCACACAGGGGTATTTTTATTCTTAGAATAAGGAAGCTTTTACATTGGCTGTAGCAGCTGCAGGATGTTTGCTTAGGGCAGTGTGCAAAGGTGTTCGTTAGCAGCTACCTGGTGTTTGTATGGGGCAGGATGAAAGGACCGGATTCAGTAAACAGTCTCAAGATGTTCCAGTGAGATAGTCAAGCCTATCATGCAGAGAGACTCCCTTTTGACTCCCGACATCTCCCCCTTTCTTTTTTTTTTTTAATTTTATTTTATTTTATTTGTGAACATACTG